CATCATAGTTTTCCTCTGCAGCATCATCGCGACGGAGAATCATTCTTTCGTGAGGTCGTATTAGCGAGTTACTTAGTGTCTGTACGCTCGGTGGATATTCCACGTTTTCGCAAAGAGTCCGACTTAGATTTTTGTGAGCACGTACATCTATCATCCCGTTGACCGCGGATTCGTTATTGAACCTAGGACCAATATCACTAGTATCGCGAGTGTCCAACCGCCGCGGTTGATTTTCGAGTCGGTAGTATCCACACTCGTATTAACAGACCGTACCTTCGTTATAACACGACGATGGCCGATTCCAACGAAGATTCATCGAGCGCCCACAACCTTATTCCTGACCCTTCTCCGACATATAAATACATCTATATACACTTCTCCTTCCATATCAATCACATATAGATATATTTATATTATTCCAACCTTATTAGCAACATTAACTGCATCATAATCACGAGTTAAGCGTATATATGCTTTCTTTTTACCATCTGGCCTAATTAACCCTTTGCCTGCGAAGAGCGCTTATAGGCGTTTAACCATAGTTACTGCCTCTGAGTGAATAGCGCCTATAGACGCTTAGCCATAGTCGCTGCCTGTGAGCGAACAGCGCCTATAGGTGCTTAGCCAGAGACGCCTTCTCCGAGCGAACAGCGCCTTTAGGCGCTGCGTTCATTTATTATCAACAACTTCCCAATAATGCACATTCAATCGTTTTCTTCCGACACACTGGCAGCATACGTATCTTATTCAGAGTTTTTTTCACAAAAATCAAATATAATATCCATAAATTGTGCCTCCATCATAGACAAATTGATGAATATGGCCTGCGATGATATGGAACTGTCATCAGATTCTGACAATTCTGAAATTTTTGGAGAAATTGGATACACAGGTAAAAATAAAAATACATATCACAAAAGACGCCTACTGTCAAGTAGCTCGGAATCTAATTCCGAAATTAATCCACGTCAGTTTCTTTGGAATGCACAAAATTTGATACCAAAAGTTTTTAATTTTGATGAAAATCTACCAGGAATTAAAGCAAATATTGATGATAAATCGTCAATATTAGAAATCTTTCAACTTTTCTTTTCCGAAAATATTCTTAAACATATTGTGGAAAAAACTAACAATTATTATACCACGAAAACTTCACACAATAAGTGCTCACGATTGATTGCATGGAAAAATACAACAGTAAGCGAAATGTATCGATTTTTTGCTCTGTCGATGTTAATCTCAAGAATAAGGAAATTATCAATAGATGAATATTGGTCAACCGACAAATTGCTACGAACAGAACATTTTCCAAGAATCATGAAAAAAGAAAGATATATATCTCTCTTACAAATGCTGTACTTTCACGATAACAGTGAGACAACAAATCAAGATGCGCTAATAAAGATACGGAGCATCATTGATAGACTGCGAAATTCCTTTTCACGATCATTTTACCCATATCAGCATTTATGCATCGACGAAAGTTTGCTGCTTTTCAAAGGGCGATGTTTTTCCAAGCATCTTATTCCTTTAAAACGAAGAAAATTTGAGATTAAGTCGTTTGTTGTTTATGACTGTCGTACCGGATATATTGAAGATTTTATTGTCTATTGTGAAGCACGTAAAAATATAACTAAGAATAATCATTCAGCAGAAATTGGCAAATCAGGGAATATTGTCATGACGCTGATGGAACCGTATCTGAATAAAGGTCATGTTTTGGTCACCGATAGCTGGTACTCAAGCCCAGCTTTATTTTCCCTACTATACCAAAATAAGACAAATGCATTTGGGACAGTAAGGAAAACCAGACGTGGAATGCCTAATATATCTAATAAATTATGTAAAGGCGAAGTTGCGTTTCAGTCTACGGATAAACTGTTAGCACTAAAATGGATGGACAAAAGAGAAGTACTGGTATTATCAAGCTGTCATTCTGCTGAGTATGTAGGAACAAAGAAAAGTGATGTTAGAACGGGAGCACCAATACTGAAACCAAGTGTCATAGTAGACTATAATCGCATTATGGGAGCAGTTGATAAAACTGATATGATTCTAAATTCCATTAATATCGTTGAGAAAACTCTGAAATGGTATAAGAAATTCTTTTTCCACATGCTTGACCTTTCGATCTATAATACTTACATACTCTATAAAATTACGTCCAAAAAGAATATAACATTTGCGAAGTTTTATTTATGCCTGATTCAAGAAATTCTACTAAAATATCCAAATGAAAATATATGTAGCAATAAGTCTGGAGGCCAAACTGCATCCAAAGATAACCTCTTACGACTGGTTTCAAGACACTTTCCATCAAAATACACCAATCCAACAGGAACGCGGCAGAACGGTCGACGGAAATGTGTGGTTTGTAGCAAACACAAAATGCGAGCCGAAACACGATTCCAATGTAAAGACTGTAACGTTGGATTATGCATTGAACCCTGTTTTGAACTATATCATACGAAAAAAGATTATTAAAGATTATTAAAATTATTATTATTATTAATATTATCGTTTGCCTCAAGGAAAAGCCCAGCAAAATCGGCTCCGCACTTCATGTTAAGAACGACTCGTGCATCATGCCACTAGCGCGGCCTATCTCCCACTGTCACACTGGCTGCCCAGAGTGCAATTCGTTTCTGAGCGCTCCGCAGCCAAAAGGTTAAAGTATTAACTTCAGCCACATTAACGTAGTACAGTTTCTTAATGGAAGCTTTGATATGATATTTATTCGCAGGAGTATGTGCAATAAAAACTTATGTGTTGTTGTCTTCAATCTTTTTCATGGCAGCTTCAGTGGTCATTGGAAATTTTATGATATTAAATGCATCCAAACTAAAATAAATATAATCATTTTGAATATTTTTTACCTAGAATTGATTTTATATGATTAATGTATATTATAGAATATGAAAAATTAAATTTATATAAATAAGTAAATACATAAAAATAACACCAATATTTAATGCTTACTGGTTTCTATTTGGGACAGATTTTCTCGCATATTTGGAGTTTCTTGGTGGCTTAAATGTTTTTGGCCAATAGAAATATACAGATACCCTTACTTTCCTTGCTCTTGATCCATGAACATCTTTCAATATCTGTAAATAAATGCAGATTCAGATAAATCATATTATATGTGTGAACCAAAATTTTTTTGTTAAAATTATGTATATTGACCGTTTTCTGGACTTTAAATGCCTTCTGAAGTGGCACAGCTGATTTTCCACCTTCCTGTATCTTTTCACAGATTGAACATTTTCTTAGATTTTGCAAGTATAGGTTTCACTGCAGGCAAAGTTCATAGCACTTGTTGATTTAGCAGCTGCTGCTTTCTTTGCAGTGGTGGATATTTTCACAGCTGGCTTTGTGATTTAAATCTAGATGCTGCATTAATTGACTTCTACCCATTATCAATTTTCTTTTCTATCTTATTCTCAGCCGGTTTACTGGCTGAAAAAAACATAATAAATGATCAAAATATTATACATACTATCTACATTTTATATTAGCAAAATATTTGTAACACCAAGTTATTAATTATGCATAATTTCTAATTTATACAAAGCATATACAAAGCCTTGATCAAAAATGATCTTGTTAAGTAATCTTTCGAGATGTAGGAAAGTAATATAACCATATTCATATCGATAGTTTTTTTTAACAGAGATAAAACGGGCAACAAACCACATGGTTAAGGTTAAAACTGAACGTGTGTTGAATTAAACTTCTTACATCACTAATTTTATAAATTCATATTAGTCATGCTTTACAGGTTTGAAAAACATTTTTCAAATTCTTCAACTAAAATTTTACGTGTTATTAATAATTTTTTAATATACCTAACTTGTCCGTGCGCTTCGGTTTAGGAGCCATTATACTAAATAGAGGGAGAATCTTAACCCAAAACAGACATGTGAAGGATCAGTGACTTTATGCAAGCGGTTAACTCATTGTAATATTTGGTAATATCTAGTGATATTAAAGAGTTACGTTAATATAATCTTGCTTTTTCAATGAATTAAATTTATTCAGATGTAATTTACACCTGTTTGGGGGAACTGTAAAAAGATCGAAATTTCTTTACAAAATACGTTAATCAAATATGTACACATACATCTCTAGTGCAAGAAGGTACAGAGAAGCGAATAGCAACGCACCCAAACCGGCTAGCAGCGGAAACGGTCAACACATCAAGCATAAAAAGAAGATTAAAAAGGAAACACCCAACAGATCTCACAAAGGACATAACCTAACAAACACGATGATGGTACCCCGCTGGGGGTAGCCACCCACATGTTATATTAGTATACCGCTATAATATTTTACCAAATATCCTACTGGACAAATTGTAAAATTTAAATAAATGAATAATAAAAAAAAAAAAACATACATCTCTATTAATTTTATGATGGCCACATCTTATCGCACATTGCAAATACATACATATTGTTACTAATTACAATCTTTGCTACAGCTGCACGCAACCTAAATATAGGAAATCCTAAACTCTACATTGTTATATGAGAAACTTTTCACAATAAAGCTACATTATTTCAAGGATCATATTATTGCAAATGTTATTGCAAATGTTATTGCAAAGGTTTTTTCAAGGTCATCGTCATTTTTTCAAATGAAATCATATAGTTTTTTTTTATATTCTTGCACATCATGAAAAAATAAATTTAACGATCTTAATAATCATACCGTTCCCCTCGCTTAATTTTGATATATTTGATCTGAAATGTATAAGTATATGTCGGAGATGAAAGGACACCGGAGCCTTTCCTCTGGAACCTCGGAAAACCCCATAAACTTGTAATTAAAGTTTACAGTTATAATTAAACAATTTGTCATCATTCTACCCAATTGTACCTGTTTGCGAATTGCGATAATAAAACTTGGGCTCAAGGCGACCATCCGTCGCCGAACGTAGCCGCGGTCAACGGGACGGGCGCTTCGCCTAACAAAGTTCGCGGAGTTATAGTATGACCCTCATTAAAAGAAATACCCATAGAGGTACTTGACAGTAAAACCTGGTTTTTTTCGGTAATTAAGATTTTCCAAATTGACCAATTGACAGCGACGTCAATCTCACTTACTCTCGGAACGAGAGCTATACTCGACGAATCCGATGACCTCATGTCCTTAGACACACCCCATCATAGTTTTCCTCTGTGGCATCATTGGGACGAAAATTCATTCTTTCTGGAGATCTCATCGACGAAGGGACTAGCGCCTATCGATCCGTGAGCAGTACACGTTTGAGTTAGAGCAAGTATATCTCTCATCCCGTTGACCGTGGATTCGTTACCGGACCTAAGACCAACGTCATTAGCATTGCAAGTGCTCCACCACAGCCGTTGATTGTCGCGTCGGGAGTGTTCGTTCACGTAGTACCAACCGAGTCTTCGCTATAACGCAACGATAGTCCTGATCCTTCTCCGACATATATATATGTAATATTTAATCGTATTCAATCGACAGGTGGCAAAAAGAAATAATTCAAATTCCTCAACTTCTAGGTAGAATCTTTTAACTTTCGAAGGTTCAAATGAAAACGCAAGAAATTAATTAAGATTAGTTTTATAAAGATATTTTTCCCGTTTCTTAATTATAAGCAAGTTTTAAAAATCGTCCAATGCACAGACAACGAAACATTATAGCCACTTAGCGGTGAAACAGTAGAATTAATCTCCTTATGGGAAAATTAAAAAATGAAATTTCTCGGTCTATAAGATGAATTTTGAACTATTTAGGAATTAAATTAAAGCCATAACTCTTAGGAATCATCTCTGTATAATGCTATTCTGATTTTTATCGTAATTAATTAATTATATGCAATTAGTGTAAAGTGTCCTATCTTAAACACGATAGTGCCATCTATCAGTCAGAAATTTTACTTTTTGGTAGTACCACTGACTTCCCGCTATTCATCTCGGTAATTTACTGACTGGTACTCATCTCTGATATTACATATATATATTTCACATGCAAATATCTCGAGATTATTTAATGTGGCCGATATAGTTATTAAGATCGCTAAATTTCTTTTTTCACGCTCTACAAGTAGATCGAAAAATAAGTAAATGATTCTACTTAAAAAAATATTGAGGTCTTGTAAAAGAAAAAAAAGAAGTGGGCACGAAGAAACATGATCTCCACCATTGCAATAATATAGTCCTAGAGATAGTGTAACTTTGTGTTGAGAAATTTTTTTGTACAACATTAGATAAGGCAGATATTTAGGTGATCCGATTTAGCTGGGCCACCTTGTATTTAATGGATTTTTTTGGATTATTTGTATTTAATAAAAAATTCATTAAATGATTCGCAACTATCTTATATTTATTCTTTCTTATCAGGCCAATAGATCAGCATATTTCTATGAAATCAATTGTCATTGGTTGAAATATCGTGCATTTGCGATATATCGTTGCGTCGTTGTGCATTTGACAAAGTTACGCACGATAACAAAGAATATACACATCCCGAAATTCTCTTCTCTCGTACGTGCAAGCTTGTCGAGTTTATTGTAAATAAGATCATGGATTTGCTGGGATCTATCTTAAACTCAATGGATAAACCTCCTTCGATCAGTGATAAACAAAAAGCATTAATGAAAAGTTAGTTAAAAGTTAACCTATGTTATAAGTGTCCAAGCAATTAACTCAATATTTATAAAATAACTTTTACTATGTAGAGCAAAAAGAGGAGTATCAGAAGCGTCAAAAAGCAGAAGCTGAAAGATTAAAGCTTTTTCGTGAGAAGGTATAATTTTCCATCAATATCCTGATTGTTTTATTAAATAAGGTTATTACGCGTGCAGTATCATTTCTTTTATGTTGGTTCAGGTAGAAGGGAAAATTAATAAATTTCTTCAAGATGACGATGCAAAGGAATACAAATTTCCCCCAATGGATCAAATCTATAGGAGTATAATGTATATAAAAGAAAGATAATTATTCAAATTATTAATAAAATAATATCTTAATACCTTTTATCATATTCTAGACATGACGTTGCTGAAGTGGCAAACATATGGGCATATTCATTTGGTGAAGAAGGCATTGATCGTCATATTGTTATTTTTAAGAGGGAATACGCACCATCTGAAGATCAGTTAAACGCATTACGTAGAGGAGAAGAATGGAATGAAGAAATAGCAAAGAGATTAGCGGAGGAGAGAGAAAGACGAGCCAAAGAAGAGCAAGAAGCTGCTGCTAAACCTAGAAAACGAAAAGACAATTTTGTACCAAATAGTTATTACAAGGATAAGTATCAACATTTAATTGGAAAGGAAGCTGCATTAGAAGCAGCTAGGAAAACAGAAGCTAATAGTAGTTATGGCTGTGGTAGGTAAACATTCATTGTACGTCTACTCAAACATGTTTTCTCGTTAATTTGAATGTTTATTTCAGTTCCTAGTGAAAATAAGAAAGATCAAAGAAGTATAGAGCAAACATTAGCAGATATTCGAGCTAAGAAAAGAAAACTGGAAACGACTGTTAAGGAGCCAGAGAATGTAGATAAAAATATAGATAAAAATCCAAATGGAACCGTATAATATATTTAATATTCGTTTAATTTCTGACCTGTAAATATTTTATATTGTGTGATAGGAAATCAACATTTCATCGCAAAACTATTTGCACTTTCCTGATTGTAACTTACATAATTTCACTTATTTTATGTATGAGTATTATTTTATGTACCTGCGATAGAAACAAGGAAAAATATTGAAATTCAATATATGTATTTACCAAAAAATTCAAATTAACTTATATGTACAATATAATACAGAGAGCACATACACTGTCTATTATTTTCTTTGTAAATTATTTCCTACACTTCTATGTATACACTTATATTTTGCTTCATAATTAAATATATTCTGTGGCAGAATATTTAGGTATTGCAGTTTTAGGAATAGATTTTGGTTTAATCGGAGATGATGTATCGAATACGATTTGTTCCTTTAGAGCCAACAATTTCTTAAAAATTTGATTTGTCGTCGATTTGTATAATTCTAGTCCTCGCATGATTACGACATCTCGAATATACGACGCATTATTATGCACCAATTGTTTCTAAAGATACATTGAAAGAACATTCAAATGTTAGATGTCGTGACAAACAAACGATATACATATAAATGAAAGAAAGAAGAAGATCGATTACCTCCTGTTTTAATTTAGGGTTCGTAAGCGACACTATTATGTGTTGTACTTGAGTTCGCATCACGGATATTAAAACCGTGTCTATTATAGCCATTAATTCTGGTGTAGCAACACTGAGGCAATCTTCCAATAAACTTACATAAATTCTTGAAAAAGTTAAAGTATTATTAGTCAATTCTATCCAATAGTCATTTTTTAAATAAGATTGTGGAACGGTTATTCCAAGGCCATCAAATTCTGATAGCAATTTTTGAACATTTTTGCAAGTTTCTAAATTAGTCGGCCGCCACATGTCTTCGGCTATATGCTTTTTTACAATCTCAACATACTTCTCGCCAGTATCTTGTATAGCTTTTGCTAATGGGGTTCTGAGCTGACCATCTAATTGATAACGAAAATCCATCCCTAATTGCGTTAACTGTAAATCGTACATATAGCATAAAATTATATTCTGTAATATTATAATAGTATATATAAAGATAGTATCAACGCTGAGGAATGCCATACCTGATCGCAGTGACTTCGAACACAAACTATACATTCTACTAACGTGTTTAAAGACACTTGTGGAATAAAAAGCTGTTTAGTTAAATGTGTTGTTAAGTATTTTACTTCTTGACTACACCAAACAACCAAACCTAAATTACATACACAAAATAGGAGAAATTAGAAGAAATGACAATTTGATTTATATATTATCCACATATAATATTATCCATTCATAATATTTTCAACTTACCAGACGTACAATTTGTCGATTGGGGAAAAATTTTTAAGAATTCTTTCGTAATCTCAACGATATTACTAAAAGCAATTGCGCTAAGCTGCTTTACATAGGGTGCGGTAGCTCCTTCTCCTTTAACTCGTTTTAAACGTGCCTTTAGCACAGCACTACATAGCCGCAGATATAGCTGGCAGGCCTGAGCACTTCTGCTTAATTGTATCAATAATTTGACCACGCGCCGTGCACTTCTCAAACCTCCACCCTGTAATGATTTCGCTTCCGCACTTAATTCAAGTTCTTTTGTTAAAACATCGACCAATGATCTCCCTCTATCATTTACTTTTGATTGAATTTCAAACAAAAGTGGTGTCATTTGTGCATCTTTTAAATAGTCTTTCGCTTTCTCCAAAAGACTATAAGCTTCCTCAAAGTGACGTTGCGCTATACAAGAATCCAAATCTTCTGCCACTTCTAGCATCCATTCTGGTGGAGGTTCATGATATTCTGTATCTTCATCATCTACACCTATAAAAGAACAACTGAAAAATTTAATCCAATTTAATCTAGTTTCATCTAATTTAATTATACAAACTTCACCAAATTATTGTACATACCGAGGGTATTAGAATCGAGTGACATAGATCTAGAAGGTACCGTCTTTTCCTCTTTTGATCGTTTATCATTTTCAGATGCTTCATTTGGATTATCTTCAATCAACTTCATTCTCTTTGCTTGTTCGCATTTATCTAACCACTCTTTCTATAAAATAAACGCCAATTCAAAGTTTGCTCTCATGATTTTTATAAATATTTTCTCTCTAATACACTAACTTTACTTGTTGCAGTTGCACACTGGAATACTCTTGTATCAGAAAATGCCAAAAGTTTGAATGCCAATTTGACCGTTCCAAGGTCCCTAACATTAACAATTGCCAAACTTTCAAGATTATAAACAGCTTGCATCTTATATTTTGGTGGTCCTCTTCTACTACCATTTGCTAACCAAGAAGCAATCATTAAAATATCATTAAATAAATATGCATGAACTCTTTTTAGTGGTGTTCCTTCCAATGGATCTAATTCCAGTAGAGAACCTTCATGTAAACATATGCGCCCAGGTGTTTCTGCTAAACTCTATTAAATCAAACCAAGAAATCCTTATTATTATAGGCCTGTAAATTTACAAATGATATTTCCATAACTTACCATAGCACCTTCTACATTTTCAAGTAATTGTACCAATTTTTGTTTATGTTCTTCTTCTTTGGCAGTGGAATCGTTAACATCTTCTAACTGGGATTCAGATAAATCTTCAAAAGTAACGCCAGTAGTCCTAGTGGATCCTAATGTACTTAATAACGAACGTTGTTCACTGAGTAGTTGAGACAACTGATACATTTCACTTTCCAAATGTGAAATTTCCTTAGCAGTTTCTATAAACTGCATATAATTCTGATAAACATTACGCTTTAATTGTGCAGAAGTATTATTTGCTAAATCTTGAATTTTAGCTCTTTGTTGTCGTAATTCATCTGCTCCAACACATTGAGCACTAAGTTCTTTCACAACTGTGAAAAAGACAAATGTTGTGCCATGTTTTACATATATTTTTCAAATCCAAAGTTTGATTGTACATGTTTACCTACATTTTTCGGGATTAAAATCTTCGATGGCGAAGACTTTTGCTAGACTGTTAGCCATAGTAAAAAAATATCCGCCACGTTCTAAACAAATATCTTTCATTTATCTTCAGTTAGAAGAATTAAAAATCAAATTTTCATCACGTCCGATCTCTTATTACTTTTGTTCGCATCATCCACACGAGTACTCCCAATACACTTGTAAACATTTAAATACATTTACCCGTGCCTATCTGAAATTGCACACAACTAAGTAAGTACTTTTATAACGTCTCACAGAGTAAGACAGAGTGTCTGTCAAGATTGCATTACTCGCAATATCAGGCAATATCATTGCATATGTACGTATATTTTATTTCCTAGTCTTAAAATTTTGTTTAGTAATATTTACTAGATGAAGAAAATCTGTCGATGTTTTTAGAACGGAATGTTTTAAGTCATCACTATGTTTTATCATATTATTTATTTTATGTTTATCACATAAAAATTGTTATGTGATAAACAAAATATCCTTTCAAATACTCTTATTTTAAACCCATTCAAACATTCAGGATTTAAAGATTTCTGACATATAAAAATGTTTTAATGAATTTTTGGTACAATTAATGTCATCTTTCATTTTTATTTGGAGCTATAAAAGATTTTAGTTTTCTATTTATGTAAAATGAATAAAAATCAAAATGTTAATTTCTAGAGATAAAAACTGTCATGTTTGCGAAAACAAAGCAACGGTAATGCATGCACATTCTAACAGATAGGTGACGACTCACATTGTTATATGGAAAAATATTATAACAAATATTAACAAAACAGCAAATGAGTTTCATTAGCTTATAATTATATTTAACTATATATTTATTATTTTAAATTTGCATGTTAAAAAACTGTATAACCTATATCAATTTTATTCACACTGAGAACATGTAAATTTAATTTGAAAGGAATTTTTCATAAATAATTAATAGAAAGGCATGTACTTTATAAATACAGTTTTTAATTTTAATGGTGTGATAATAGTATTTGAAAACAATGAATATACAAAAAATGCTACCAATTGCAACAAAAGATTTAGAAACTAAGGATGGTGATAGCAGAGGTACAATTAAAGTTATAGACCGTCCAACATTCATATTGAAAACGAGAGAAGGCGAGAACAGAGCTGTGTCACCAAATCAACGCAATGGTGGTAACAAGTATGAATAGTTTCTTGTTTAAAAATGTATGTAAAGCTATGTTTAAATTTTTAATCATTATTAGATATTTTATTAAATTGCAGGAAACAGGGTGATACATCTTCCAACGCTTCATCAAAGATACAGGATCGTATGTTCTTTATTCTCTTCTAAACTTTAAATCTGGATTGACAATAATAAACTTAATAGATATGTTTTCTTTAGCAATTCGTACTGTACTGTCTACGTGTCCTGAAATGACAAGTTGCGTAAAATTTATGGATGAAAATATGCAACTTTGTGAGAGCCCTCTTGAATTCCTATATGATCAACAAGATTTTTTAGTTGTAGGATGCTTAGGGGCTCAAGGTGTTGGAAAATCAACTATAATGTCCTTTTTAACATCTAATATTGCGTTAGTATAATTTAGAAGCTTTAACTGTACAATTATGAAATTTTATTAAAAACATTTGCTTCTCTTTTTTCCTTTTTTTTGCTGTTATAATGTGCATTTTATTAATATAGGTCTGGCATATTTCCAACTCAAGATACAATGCATCATGAAAGTGGTGCAAATTGCACTATTGGTATTGACTTTTTTGTAACAAAAAATCGAGTAATATATCTGGATACACAACCCATACTCTCAGGATCTACTATAGATTACTCTACATGTTATGATCAAAAAAAATCTACGACAGATTTTATAAATACAGAAACTAATTTAGAGCTGCAATCTTTACAATTTGCAGCATTTCTCTTTTCAGTTTGTCACATTATCATATTTGTACAAGATTGGTTTGTTGATCCAAATTTAGTTAGGTAAGTATAGTAATATTTTTATTGTACCACAAACTATTACAAATTATAATATAATTTGTAGGTTTTTACAAACTGCGGAAATGTTAAAACCATCCTCGACTAGCAATATGGATCAAGATTATGTTGAATACTATCCTCATATTGTATTCTTACACAATAAAGCTGAATTACAAGATCTCACGCCTCACAGTATGGAAAATGTGAAAGTAATATACATGTATATACATATATATTGTGTTAAAAGCATAACAAATTACTGATAACTTGGAAATGTTACAATACAGTCTAACTATATATGCACTTTCAGGAATTTTATGGCAAATTATTTTCCAGTTCTAGATTACAAATCCATAGTGGTTTGGATATGAGTAATCATTCTATGGAAGCAGGTTTAAATTTATTTTTTATACCTCGTATTGTAAACGAAGGTACAGTGTTTGACATCACTCAATAATCACAACCATTCTAAAGTTTGTGTTAATTAAATCTTTATTTTTTAATCTTAGAAGAAGTTACAATACGCCAGAACGAGAAAAAGCTAATAGAAAAACTAAAAACAAAGATACATGGTGTCACCAGGAATCCAATGACACCATCTACCTTAACAGAAAAAGATTGGTAAATATAAGAAATAAAAGTAATTTATTCTCATTACATTTTATAATAATCATTTTATAATTAAATTACTTAGGTACCATTATGTTTCAAGAGTGATGGAAGCAATTAAAAAAAGTCACCTTTCCTCCGAATATGGGAGATTAATGCCATAATCTTCAAATACGGTACATATGCAGCGAATGAGTTGTGCATGAAGCAATGTGCGCAGAACTATATAAAAGGGTCATTATTTTTTGTATTTATTTATAACAATCGCAGAAGCAGGAAAGCAATGATCTCCTAACTTTTCCCAAGTTATATATACATAACAATATGTAAAAGTTGAATAAATCAAAGAAAGATTAGAGCAATATACATTATTGTAATTATCCCAAATTTGCTACACTGCTTAGAAATCACTTTTTATTGGTTTTCAATCGATCTCGACGAAATACATTGACAAATCGAATAAAGTAAGCTTCGTTTACGAGTAATCTTCTTGTTCACTATCAGACTGTAGTATCGAGGCCATTTTTGCAACTGCTTGTAATTGTTGCCACTGTTGTTGTTCAGCAACCGCTTGTTCTTCTCTTGCTTTTGCAAATAATTCTTGTTGTTGTCTAAGGAGTTCTTCTTCCGGAATTCCCAAATTTTCTAATCTAGTGCTCTGACGTCTTCGTTTAGCAGCGACAGCTTTGCAATCTCGTAGAACCGCCTCAGCTTCTACGCTATAATCTCCAAATCCGAGTTTTTCAAGTGCTTGAAGAATATGTTCAGCGTTAATGGTTTTCTTCTGTTGTTGATTACAAATTTCATTCGCCTCGGAAGAAACTAAATGAATAAATTCTGTGCAACAATTTAATATCAATTCCCGGGATTCGTTTGCTACGCGTACATGTGGTAAAATTTCTTTGATTATCTTGTTGATCGATGCACGCGGTAATGTTAATTCATCGTCTTCCGTCGGTGATGTAGCAGCCGAGGCCATTTCTCCTTGTTTTCTGCAATGTTCAAATAAAAAATTAATCCGTTTTCTAATAAATATCTATAGATCATGGATTTATAATTGTTACTTTTCGTTTATCACTTATCCAACTTTCTTGTTGATTTATTGAATTTGTTATAGATAATAAACATCGTTGCAGTACATACATACATCCGTTGATTTTTTAAATTATTCTGAACAATTATATACCAGGCAATAAATGAAAAAGAAAATAAAAATAAAGATTATGTACCAATTATCAGCGTTGTCTATAATCTTTTATTTTTTGTCTTGATATACTTGATGCACTTTCAGAAATTTCGGTACTATTTTAAAATATATACACTTTAAATCACCCAAACTTTTAATACACACGTATCACCATATCTTTTTATTTATCACGAGGCGTATCGTTATATCGCATACTTGAAAATTGTATGTACTTCTTGCTACAAGAGAGATTATCAGATAAATTGTTTAATGATAATACTATGTTCATTCTATAAAAGAAGATAACTTTTATAATATACTGTCCGGTATTTGATTCCACGATTATGTATAGTGCGATAATTTAATTACTCGTGATCAAATTCATTCGAAAATGAAATGTCGGTAGGAATGCAATCGTTGTTAATATATAGTACGCTTGTTTCATTTTATTTATCTAATGGAAGCTATGCGGGAGATACGAGCGAATTTGTTGGTAGTGTGCGAAACTTGAGTGTGACAGTTTTACAAGATCCGAAATATGTAGGAAAGCAAAATGCATATAAATATTTAAGATTGAATATATCTTGGTTACCACCAGACAGCGCTAGGCAGCCTTCCTCTTACAGGTAAACATTTACCAATGAAAATAAAAGATTGACTTTGTTACTGCGTTATTAATTTTTAATATCAATTTTCATACTTTTATATGATAGTGTTATAGTCACAGGCATACCAATAAGGGAGAGAACAAGTATCACAGAATGTCCACAAGGATCACTTTTCTTTATATTGAAAGACAGTACCAAACATAATGTAGTGCTCCCTGAATACAACGATTTATTTGATATTGCAGATCTGTATATACAACTCAATTGTTCTTACAAGGTGCAAGTCCTGGCAAATCCAAGGTCAAAATATATAGTAAATACACCTGAAGTAAGTTATTTACAGATCATACAGGAATATACAATAGATGTAAGTTATTTATGCAAAACTAACAATAAGGTTACATAAATTGTACAGATTCTTTATACAGTTCCTGAATGTATAGATCATTTATGCAGTTGTGTTAATGCCAAAAAAACATTGCCGATTCCAAAAGTAAACATTTCTCAAAAAGAAAATGAAATTGTCGTAACTTGGAGCACAACTTCTAACACATCCAATATTCAGTATTATACAATTAGGTACATATATGACAAAACTTGATGTATAATTAATATGGTTAGATTTGTCTAAATATGTATTTTGTAGCATTGGTGTACCAATTTTTATATCAAAGAAAGGACTGCCTGTTTATAATATGACAAAACTAGTACAAGTACCTGTAGATAAAACTGTATTTTCATGGGATTTAAAAGTCAATAATCAGTATATAGAAATTAAAGATGGTTATAAAATAGCAGTTAATGCTGTTAATCATCATGGATGCTCTGGACTAGAGGGAGATATTATTATACATTTCATATCATCAGCTAATCGCAATATAGTAAGTCACTATTCAAAATTGAACTACTCAAAGTAATATACACAATATTAATATTCTCCTATTAATATTCAAAGAGAATAACTTTTTTAAGATTGGACCAAATGATTTGAGCATTTTTGAAAAGATAAAAGAATTAGTTTACTAGTTGATATATATGTCGGAGAAGAGTCAGGAACAGGGTTGTGAGCGTTTGATAGACCTCCCTTGGAGTTGGCCATCGTTGTGTGATAACGAAGATACGGCCTGATGCTACGAGTATGGACACTACCGATTCAACAATCAACAGCGGTGGTTGGGCACTTACGATGTTAGTGACGTTGGTCTTAGGTTCGATGACGAATCCACGGTCAACGGGATGAAAGATATACTTGCTCTAACCCAAACTCACTGATCGTCAGGCGCTGCTCCTTTCGTCGGTGGGATCTCAAGAAAGAATGAATCTTCGTCCCAATGATGCCACAGAGGAAAACTATGATGGGGTGTGTCTAAGGACACGAGATCATCGGATTCGCCGAGTATAGCCCTCGTTCCGAGAGTAAGGGAGATTGACGTCGCTGTCAATTGGTCAATTTGGGACAAAGGTTGCCTGTCCGTTTGGAAAATCTTAATTATCAGAAAAACCCACGTTTTACTGTCAAGTACCTCTATGGGTATTTCTTTTAATGAGGGTCATACTATATGATTGGCGAAGCGCCCATCCCGTTGACCGCGGCTACGTTCGGCGACTGGCCTTGAGCCCAAGTTTATTATCACAAATCGCAAACAAGTACAATTGGGCAGGATGACGGCAGATTGTTTAATTACGACTGTAAACTTTAATTACAATTTTACGGATTTTCCCGAAGTTCCAGAGCGAAGGCTCTGGTGTCCTTTCATCTCCGACATATAAATATAATTTCGAAAAAATTGCAATTAGTTGGAATCGCGAAGGAAAAGGTAAAAATCACTTTTTATAACTTTTTTGTCTAGGCCCATAATGAAAATTTAAATAACACCTTTTGAAGGTTTGTGTCAATTATATGCATTCTGAAGATTCTATAAAGATCGGATGATGCAGGAACAAGCGACAGGCATCGAAAGATGTAAGGATTTTCAGATTTCAAGCTGAAAGTCTGAAGAAGTACTATTCTTAGCATGTATATAACTGATAAAACACTTTAAAATGTGTTATTTAAATTTTCATTACAGTCCTAGATAAACAAGTTACAAAATGTGACCTTTACCTTTTTCTTCTTCAATTTCAACTAATTGCAACTTTTTCAAAAATTTTTTTATATATCAACTAGTAAACTATTCCTTATATTTTGTAAAAAATTCTCAAGTTATTTGGTCCAATTTTAAAAAAGTTACTCTATTTTAACACTAGGTTTACGGGACCCGTCAATCTGACGGATTTCGAACTTCGAAATGAAATATCTCAAAAACCATAGCACTAATTTTAACCATTTTGCATCGTAAATTAATCATTTCATCTCGTAAATTAATCATTTCATAAATTAATCATTTCATCTAAAGAATTTATACACAAAATTATTTTTTCCTAGGCTTTCTGATTTTTGAAATCTGTATGTAGTACACCTATCTCTACGGGACCCGTCAAATTGATGGGTAAACGAAAATACGCATCTTTCTTTAAAAAAATCGATTTATTCAAATTAAGTTTGAAAGGAACTATATTAGGCTTCACGTTTAAATAAATTATTAATAAATAAAAAGTCTTCGTTTTAAATTATCACTAAAAAAATAACAATGACATTACCGGTACAGGGTAATCATATCTATTGAGCACATTTTTTGCAAATATACTGAATGTTGTTTGTGCATTTTCCGCATACGATCTTTTTTGCAATATATACAATAATTATTACTTCTATTTTTTTTTTGCAATAGCCCACTTGGCAACTTTTTCGCACTTCTGATGTTGAAGGTGACAGAAATGAAGCGTCTGATCTTTGGCAGATGTTCTCCTTGTTTTCTCTAGCTAATTCCTCGGCTAAGCAAAATATGAATTCCTTTCTGGATATTTTCGATCCGATGCACTCTTTATATAATATCCACGCGTTTATCGCTGTAAAATTCAAAATATTGAAAAAAGACTTGAAGAGGCCATCGGAAACTCCCTGCTTTCACACTATATTTGCGCGTCATTTGATCAACGACGTCCACACCAAACTTTGTTTTATCGTAAAAAGCAATGGTTTCTGGAACACGTTTATAATTATCTTCTATTCGTACACCTGTACACCTGTATGTTTGGTGCTTAGAGGAGGACTTTTACTTTAGGTTTACTTTTATACACAGTAAGTGTGCAGTTTTCTGATTTATATAAATCTGAGGAAAACAAAGTCATCTTGTCCTTTTTTTCCTTCGCTGGTTTTCGCAGTTCTCTTTTATTCGGCCGGATGGTCCCAACCAAAGTTGTTTTTTGTGCTAGCAATTTTTTGCTAGCGGGATGCTTGTAAAGAAATCGTCTGTCGTTACATTTCTACCTCGTTGTAAATATGGTTCGTCTAATTTTAGTGTTACAAACTCGCTCAACGGTATTGAGCATCGAGTTTCATCTTTCCCCATATAAGGGAAACCATTCAAAATATATTTCGTGTGGACGTCAACTGCTAACCAAAACTTAATGCCAAATTTATGGGGCTTATTCGGCATATATTGCGTAAATCTGCACCGGACTTTCGTTGGAAATAATTGCTCATCTATTGAAATATTTTCATATGACCTATAACAAGCCTGGCTATTACTTATAAACCTGTTCCATATTTCGGAAAATGCAAAATGGTTAAAATTAATGCTGTGGTTTTTGAGATATTTCATTTCGAAGTTCGAAATCTGTCAAATTGGCGGGTCCCGTAAACCCAGTGTTAATGTTATTGTTATTTTTTTAGTGATAATTAAAAAAAAAGACTTTTTATTTATTAATAATTTATTTAAACGCGAGGCATAATATTGTTCCTTTCAGACTTGATTTGAATAAGTCGATTTTTTAAAGAAAAATGTGTATTTTCGTTTACCCGTCAATTTGACGGGTCTCTATCTCGTATATACGAAAGGTATATACGAAAGGTATAAAGATAGGTATATACGAAACGCCTATATACGAAACCTAGTGTTAAAGAGTGCCCGAACATTAATGGGAGTATAAGAAAACATTAATTTGTGTTTTTCTTTGTTTATATCTTTCAAGTATTATTTTTTAGTGGTTTATACTAATTGGAATACTAACCAGTTGTATTCTATTTGGAATTGTAAGCTTCTTATTGTATCGTAACTATAATTTCTTTATGATACATAACAGCAATAAGTCTGGAATATGCACAATTTCTGAATGTAAATGTAAATGGACAAAAGCAATACTACAGAAGTTCAACATTTTGTATATTAAATACGAATCAGAGGTAGGAAGATAATTTTATGTGCGCAACATGCAACTCTTCTATTATTAGCTAAAATAATTTTCGTAGGAAGAATATATGGAAGGGACAGATAATTTGAAAGTGGCATTCAAAAATGTAAAATTAATACGTGAGCTGGGTACTGGACAGTTTGGAAAAGTATATCTTGGTCAGTTAGATGATAAAAACAATACTTCAGTTGCTGTAAAAATGTCTCAACAAATAGATATATCCAATAATTCTGAAACCCAGCAGGAATTTATAAAAGAAATTGAAATAATGAGAATGGCTGGAAATCATCCTCATTTAGTAAGCCTCATAGGTTACTGTATTAAACCTACACAACCAACATGTATCCTGCTTGAATATATGCAAGGTGGAGATCTATTAACTTACTTGCATGATCAAAGAAAGCAACAAAGTGAGAAAAACTTCATTATTAGCTTATTATAACTTCACTTACAATTAATAAGCTTAATATATAATAATTATCTTAATTCTCAGTTTTGTATGATATTATGTATTCTGCTATAGAGAATGAAACAAATAATTACAAACCTGGACAATATACAAATATTACCAATAATTGTAGAGAAGAAATTGATGTTTCAGAAAGTAAGTAGTTTATTGGCTTATTGTAGCTTCGAGAGCTTAAAATGTTTGATATAATCTTAATTTTCAGCTTTGTATTCTATGTGTTCTACGATACGGAACACAATGAATAGTTACAAATCTGGGCAATATATGAATATTATCAACAATTGTAAAGAAGAAACAGAATATAGAAAAGAAAATTGGATTGGTAGAATAAAAGGACGTCAATTTCTAAAATTTGCCACAGAAATTGCTATGGGCATGGAGCACTTGGAAGCTAAAGGAATTACTCATAGAGATCTTGCAGCAAGAAATATTCTTCTTAGCGCAGATTTCACTGCTAAGGTATTTAATCTAAATTTTATAATATTCTTAATTTCCTTGATATGCATACAATTTTAACAACAGTTAATAACAATATCTAGATTTCCGACTTTGGGCTTTCTCGCAATAGTGCATATGTGATAAAAAATACTGAGAAGAAAATACGTCATCTTCCAATTAGATGGATGTCTCCAGAAGCTTTGCATAACTTAGCCTTCTCTTCAAAAAGTGATGTATGGTCTTATGGAGTGGTACTTTGGGAAATTAGTACATTAGGTGCGTTTCCTTATGCAAATGTACAAGATGATCGCCTATTTCGTTATATTGTTCACGAGAACGGTCGTTTAGAGCAACCAGACAATGTTTCTTCGAACATTTACAAATTAATGCATTCTTGTTGGGCTACAGAGTGTGAGAACAGACCAAATTTTACGCAGTTGCTCTCCGAACTACGAATTCTAACCTCACATTCCAACAATTCTTTCTGGACAATGTCTAATCCCTGTTACGCATTACCATTCTCAGACAATATTGCATAACATAATTTGTTTTTTAAATATTCAAAAGAACAAATATTCCGAAAAATGAAAAATATTATTTATGTAAAAAGAAGAAATTAATGTTACTTACGTGTTATTCTGTCTATCTTATCTATTCAATGTATTCACGAGCGTCAATACAATCGGAATTTTTAAACAGAACACCAGTAAACATGTTTATGTGTTAACGTAAATCTGTTCACGGTTTTGATATAAATATATTTCATTTTTTGTATTTTTACAGTTTTATATTACACAAGTTTGCATATTTATTCATTCATATCAAAACAAATATGAGTACAGGGAAAATAATAAAAAAGAAATTTGACTCAATGAATCAAAATGAAATTTGGAAGCAGTCTTCTTATCATAAACTCTTGTTTTAAAAAGGCAAGCCTTTTAACTTTAATCTGTAGCCAACAGCCAACAGACATACAATACATATATAAATATACAACAGGCCACGGTCTTAATACTCATATACCGAAAACATAAAAAATGTCCGAAAATTGAGTCGTGAAAAAACAATATGGAAGACATGCTACGCATGCGCATGCTACGAATGTCTCAAATAGAGACGGAGACACTCTACTTCTCTCTGACTGTCTCACAAGAACGAAGACTCTGTTGTTTTCCATGTTGATTTTTCACGACACAATTTTTGAACAGTTTTCCCTAGCGAATATCGAGATCTGTTTATGTCGTGGACATGAATGCGAGCTGTATAGAGATAGAATGCGTGAGCGAGAAAATGATATAGAAATAGAAAGAGAACGCTGCATAGAGACTCTTTGTGTCTTTGTCTAATAACTAATAACACATGACATGATTCATACAATACAAATATATAAGTAGGCGGTAATATATATATATATATGTATTGTATGAATCATGTCATGTGTTATTATATATATATATATATATAGGTGTACAAGAGGAGTCTCTGTGTATCTTCCTATTCTCATATCGCATCTACTTAGATACATGGTAACATATGACTATCTTTATTGTATCTCTATGGTGAGCATTTCATTTCCTTTCTGCTTATACACATGTATATACATATAGCTTCGTACGTGTTTCGTGTGGTAGAGGATGTTCTCATTTTAAGACTAAAATTTTCGTACTGGCCGCATAGCGGTGTTATCGGTTTAACAACCACCTGTGAGGGTTAAATCATAGAAAGCTTATTTGTTTTTGTGTAACTTTTACGCACATCTAGTCGGTCTGTCATTCTCAAATTTTCTACTTTAGTCACGTGCCTCACTGCCCCAATCATTCTACTTCGATCCTCGTTCAATCAGCTGCGAATGCAAAAAAAGCTAGAAGCGCAAAAAAGAACCAAGCGTGCGCATTTGCAGTCGCTCATCACTTATCAATCATTAGAGTCATGCAAGAAGTAGGGAGAGAAAAGAGAGACGAGTAGAAATAGAGAGAAAAATATGTATACATACGATTGTGATTTGCGATTATGAAAAAATTTATGATAAAAATGTCTCCCGTGTGCGCTGTGCCGGATTGCAAAAGTGGCTCTAACTGCCGCAAAAAGTATTCATTATTTAAAACACCCAAAAATCTGGAATTAAGAAAGAAATGGGAGAAGGCCATTCCTGGAATAACAGAATTAAAACAATGGCAACTGATATGTGAAAAACATTTTAAAAATGAATATATAATAAAAAAGTTCGTTCAAAGAGATTATTGTGGGAACATCATTTCTGAGGTAATTGGTATTACTTTGTGTATAGTTTATATTGTTATTGTAATAAATACGAAATGTTGAATGTATATATAGAAATATTTTTATTTAATTACTGAGCGACAGTTAAAATATTATATTGTATAATTGATATTAAAGATAATGCGCCGACCTTATTTACGAAAGGGCGCGGTTCCAACAATTTTCAGTAATTCAAATGCATCTTCAATTATTGAAGAAAAAGAACATAAATTACCTTCAAGTTCAAGTATAAATGCTCTTGAAGAAGAACTATATCCCAAAGGTAAATAATTGTGGGAGTAATTTATATTAATATCTTATACTATTTTATAATATTTTATGTGTATATATTTTTTACAGTTAGTAATGAAATTGTAGTTAGTATTAGCGATACTGATTTAATGGAAATCAGTAGCAAGGATGATTCAGAAATATTAGGTAATAACAACAATTTGTTAATAATAACTTATTTAAATAATACATTAAATTATGAAACACGATAATGAGCTATGATAACTAATATTTATTGATATTAAGTCCTCATTTTTTTTTACAGTTGATGAAAAATATGTGAATGATGAATTCACACACGATAAGGACAACTTAATCCTAATTATAAATTCTAATGATGGACATTTCATAGAACATAATTATGCATTAAATAATTTTTCAAAAACGGTTGATAATGCTTGCACAGGTAAGATAGAGGTTGGGGTTAAGAGGGATTGAGAGATGTATTTGATACATATTTAGCAAAATTATACTACAAGAACAATGTTAAAATGTAATTTTATATTTTACTTAAACTCTTGTATATTCTTTTACATATCATAAATTGTAACTATAAGATTATATCATATCAAATAGGCTATGTCGTTTACAGTTACTACGACATAAAAGTAAAAGAAATGCATAACAGAGCTATATTCTATCATCGTTGTTTTTTATTTCCAGATTCGCTCTTGTTATCTGCCAATTGTCACAATAGATCTTCTATTGCAAACACAAATGCCTTAACTGATTCTTCGAATGTTTCTATAGAATATGTTAGTGAAGTTGGTAAGCTTTTTTGCTTCTTTTCAAATTTAAATTTTAAAAGGTATATTTACAAGTTGAATGCTATATGAATCCTTCTTTTAGCTATCGATAATACTAAAACGAAAGTACCAAAAGGTTGGGGTGTTTCTGAGAAAGTTAAAAGATTTACAAGATATTTATTATTTACACATACGATTACAGAAATAAAAAATAACGTTGACGTCCAAGTGCTAGAAAAATACATAATTTTGAATTGCTCTGATGGAACAGCGCGTTATTTCATACGCGAAAAAGAAATTAATAATGAAAATACACCGCAGTTTAATTTAAAAATTATTAATACAAGAATGTTAGTAGATGCAATGACAAACTTTGAGAAAATGCATATTTGCGAAGGACTGGGTTCGATAGATTCAAATTTACTTCGACAGAATGATTCGTGTGAGAACATATTGAACTGCTGGCGTCATAGTAAATGTATTTTATTAACAAAATACAAAAAATGTGATTATTGCAAGAAATTAAAAAGAATAATTATGCAAAGACGTATAGATCATTGAAAACAGGTGAAAAAGAATTCATATAAAAAATTATAATTTTTTAAAAATATATATCATCCCGGTATAATAGTTTACAATTTTCATAATTTGCACAATATCTGTTTATTTGATAGGTATTACGTAATCTTCATTGAAATGGTTAAATAATTGGAAGTAAGGCGATATAGATAACAAAATAAAAGATGATGAATTTTTAACTTGGACATTTTTAACTTGCTCACAATTTATGACTTTCCCTTAAGTTTACAATAAATCTGTGCATCTAATTTAGAGGTAAATATCTACTCATTTATATAAATAACTTCCTAGTATAACTATAATTGTAATTAATAAACATTTCGATTTAGTGGAATGTACGTAAAAGCCTATTGAAGAAGAAATATAAGATTTTATTAAAAAGTTATAGTTCACTCATACCAGTAAAAAATAATATTGAACCTTGTAATTTACAGAAATTTGTCGGTATTATACGCCAAGCTGCCGGTTACGATGATCACCATTGTTGCTCAGCTTTTCTTTCCTTTTATGAAATATTGTCAGTTTATCATATTTTAGCACCTGAGCAACAATTATATGAAGAACGAAGAAGATACACCAAAAATCCTGATAACTACTAAAGTCTTGAAAAGTTTACATGACTTCTTACTCAGCAAAATTATTATTAAAAAAAAAAACTCGATGTACACAGTTATCCGTTATATTATATAGATAATGTAATTCTAGCGACTGATCATGCCTATTTTAAAATAGAGATTGTTGATTGTATAATTTATTGTACAACAGGTCTTTTGTCCTACATATCTTTTCTCACAATTGCATAGATATTATTTTATTAAAGGTAAGAAAGATTTATTTTTATAACAAATTTTTCTTATATCTTTAATTAAACAGCCATTGTAATGCGGTATTTAATAAAATATATGATAAATAAGTGGAAAAACGTTGTCATTACTTAATTTAAGTCAAATTTTATTTTCATGATTTGGTTAAATGATCCTGTATCATATTAAGCAGCAAGAAACCTTTTTTATTAACGCAATCCATTTCGGAAATTCAATGCCGATTTTGTGAAATTACTTTAATTTTATTCATCCCTTTAAAAGATTTGATTTTGTACTGTTTATTTTTTACATAATAACTATATTTCATTTATTTCAAAATGTTTCTACTAAGTAATATCTTTGTCTCGATTATCAAGTGCTTAAAGCTTTGGTTTTTTAACTTTGCGCTATACAGGCAGTATAATTCCCGCAGGGAATTTTAAGCACTACCGCAATTACGGGTAAATGGTTATACCCACATATATATATATACATCAATTCATAGACAGTATATCATTGACGGCGAATGGTAGGTTTTCATGAAAGTAACTATTGCTAATGCAAGTACAATGAATTTGTCAAAAAGAGAACGAATTATTATCAATTGACAGATATTTTTTTTCTCCATTCAGTTGTGGATGTACGATTATATGGGTGTTTGTCATTTATCGTAAAAATGTGTTTGCACTAAACGAGTAAAGAAAACTCTGCTTCTCGTATAGGAAAATATACGCTGTATGTTATTTCTGGTTGGTTAAGTTTCTCAATATTGTTTAATTGCAAAATTTTGTACATGTATTAAAGCAATTTACCTCCTTTTAGTGATAAGTGTTGATAACAAGAAGGAAAGTGAGTACAACATGAGTGGGAGTGAAGTATCGGTTACTATAGGTTATGATACAGCCGTAGATGGTAAGTTAGTTTATTTATCTGTTTGATTTTCATGTTTATTTTTTCGTTGTAACTCTCGTCCTTTATGGTTACAAAAATTAAACAGTTGACACATTCAGTCGGACAATCGACTGTTATGTGAGCATTGTTTTTCGTCGCTTTGGTAGATTCGATATTTTTGTGAAATGTTATTTATAACGTTCGTGACTACCGATTACTCGTGTTTAACATTTGTACAAGCGAGTAAACATGAAGTAAACGCCACAATAAAGTGCTCAAATTTTGTGTTAAGTTGCCCAGTCGGGGAACTCGGACAGATTAAAGATGTATGTGCCCCAAGTGGAAAATGCAAATGTTGTAACGAGAAGTGTTATAATACTAGGTCCTATTCCAGCCAGCGCGATATCTCTGGTTTTAATATGACCAGCTGCAGTAGCAATTGCATTTGGCGGTGTACCTACTGGTAAATGAAACGAGAAAGAGCAACATAGAGAGGCTGGCATCATCAAGTATAGTGGATGTATTCGTAAAGCGACACACTGAAAGAAGCAGTATATAAATACATAGTAAACAGTAAATGCATATTAAACAAAAATGTGAAAATAAATTGGCAAGCGAAAAAAGAAGATATCATTTAGGCATCGTTTAGAATTCCTTACCATTTCTGCCAAAACAGGCAAAATAATGTTTGCAACGGCAACATTAGAAGTCAGTTCTGTCACCATTTCCACAAACATACATACAATAACCAATATTGCAAATGGATGTATCGATTGTAAAGCTATAAGAGCATTTCCTAGAATGGAGGAAAGCTTGGAACTGGTGCTTCCAGCCGAGATAGCGAATCCACCACCCAAAACTAAGATCAAACTCCAATGCATCTTCTGATTTATCATTTTCCAACTAATCATGCTTGGCGATGGTTTGGTCGGACGATTAACCGGATCCGGATCAAACGATCGAAGGAAATCAAGTTTGGATGGTAATATGAAGAAGAGAATGGTAACGCAAGCAGCTGTTGTTGAGTCTTTCACGTTTCTGCAAAGAACTACGTTTGCTGAGTACATTTTGTTAAGACAAGCTTTTATTCGAGCAAGGGAAATATGAGGAGAAAGGGGAAGCGAAAGAGGTAGAAAAGGATCGAAGCAGTAACAATAATTATCAATGAATAAAAAAAAAGATACCTACAAATCAGTAAGGTAACTTGGCCAACCCCGTACGAATCCGGGATTTCTGAAGAACCACAGGAGTACAACTGCAAAGAAAAGGATACCAACAGCGGATTCGTGCCACGTAATTGGGCCGAGTTCTTTGTATTTTTTCTCGATCACGGTCGCTGCAACCTTCTCTCCTTGCGAACCGATATCAATATCTTGTGCATCTTTGCTATTTGGTCTGAACATTCCCATGTACATAACTTGAAGCCAAAGCCATGTGAGGAAGCCCATCAGAAGCATCGGTGGAACAGAATAAAGCATCCAAGATGTTAGACTAATACCTGAACTGTTTGGGAATCGCCTGCAACATAAACGAACGATTGTTTCTCTTTCTTTCTCATTACAGTTAATCATTTCATAGTTTAAGAACGATCGGTTGATAGATGAATAGACAATTTGGTGGATGGTTTGAAAGTGGGTCGTTCATCGAGAGCGCTTACTTTTCGAAGAATCCTTTTAACGTCAAGTTGGTGCCTGTTCCAACCAGCGTGCCAATGCCTCCGAGACTGGAAGCGTATGATGTTATGAGATAGTAAACCATCGTGACATGAGTCGGTTTCTTTGTCCTACAATTAATACAGAGAAAAGTTACAGTAATAAGCGTTGAATATCAATAGCGAAGAAGTTTGTTGTCCTTTTGTCATTCATTCTTTTCCTCCCTATCTTTCTTCTTTTTTCTTGTTTAAATGCATTAACACTTTCACTATTAATGAAATTTAATTTTTTCTTCCTCAGAAGAGATATAATTCTTTTTTTCAGAAATGTCTTTGCATTCATCTTTATTATTAACCACTATTTAGGCAAACAATTGTCAACAATCAATGAGTAACAATAGTATACAGCTATCACTGGAGCACATTATTCTCCATCCGAGTAAGAATATGTAACAAATATTCGATAAAGTGCAGTTGACATGGTTATTTGATTTAGTCTTATTGATTCTATTAAGGAAACTTATCAATTGATGAGTTTGCGACTACGTACGGTTCCACACCCTCTTCAGCTCCATAGTTATTTTCTTCTTGAATAAACATGTTACCCAAACCTTGCTGAAAATTCAAAGAAAAAAGGATAAAGTTCAATGTAGAAGATGCTTGTTGACAGTGGATTAAGTGGATATTTAATTGCTTACTGCTTCAAGTTCTAATAGAACAGTTTCGATAATGGGTAACATCATGGTCGTGGCAGCGGTATTTGAAATCCACATCGATAGAAACATGGTTACACAGAACAAGCCCAGTGTTAATCTGTAGATTGCATAATATGCATATTTTATGGCATGAACATACACTCTTGTTCATAGATATGTATTACAACCCTATCTGTTGGTTTCATGTAAAACGTGATAATCGAGTTAATGAGGGGAATTATTATTGATTATTCGGAATTATGTACTTATGCAAGATAGTAGAATTGAGAATTATGTAAAATTATATAATCATGCGAAACAATTTAAAATCGTAAAAATTGTCTGCCATGTATATTGCCATTTCGAGTACTTCGATATAAATTTCATTGAGAGAAATTTAGAAAATTCAGAGTCGTTACATGATATAAAAAATGATGAGTAGATTGATAGAATCAAAGAAGTGGAATGTAAAAAGAAATTCCATCCGCTACCGATAAGGAAGCAGAAGATGGTGAGTAAACGAAAGACTATTAAATGCTTTTTGGCATCCTGAATTACCTTCGATGACTGCAGCCGATCATTTTAATGATCAGTAGCGCGATGCGCATATGCAGGCCAGAGTTTTCAATAACGATCGCAATCACCATGCTACCGATAAACATCATCGTGGTATCGTTCATATAGCAGGTACAGGTATCGCCGGTATTCATTATACCCATCAGTGGATAGAGAACGACAGGAATTAAACCTGTGATTGGTAAGGGAAGCACCTCGGTCATCCAAAACATTGCCATCAGACCAACCACGTATAGACATCGCATCGCTATTACCTGCGTTTAATTGACACGTAATTCTTTACGTATGAACATGAGAAAACTAGAAAGAAAAAGGTAGAAAATAGGGAATATAAAATAGAAAGAGTAAAGGTGGAAATGGATGAAGTGGATAAAGTAAAGAAAAATTAACACTTTAACGGTCAGATCTTCTTGAGTTGGGGAATGTACAATTGAAATGTATTTGCTCTTTGTCAGTATAGTAACAGCAGGCTTTTTGTATTTTCAATGATGCATAAAGTACTCTTATTGAAATAGGAAAAAGAAGTGAAAGATGGAACATAATAAAACAATAATAAGAAAAAGTGTAAAAGATAATAATAGAGCAGTAGAAGAAAGTAAAATTCTAAACTATGGGAAAGAAGATAGTATAAAAAAAAGACTACTGAACACTGATTACACAAAAACTAAAGACACGAATTAAGAATTGTGTGCTATTATTTAATTTTCAATATAAAAGGGACGGCGTTAACAAGACAACATATTGCAATATGTTTTAACGTTAGATGTTTGTCGCAATTTCGATTTCATAATGCATCAGTGGACAAACCGATCATTAACGTTCTGAAAGGACTGTAAAGAGTCACTTTTTGAAAATTGAAAAAAGATGGTGTTATGAATTACATATGTGCGGAATTGTTATATTATGTATTTCCACGTTTATGATCTAACGATTTTAAAGATATTTATATGCGATATATAGGATATTATGATAGCTTTGAATTATTAAGAATCAGAATGGGGATAAAAAATAAATGACAAAGAGTTACACGAGAATAAGTTATAAGATTAAAGAGGAGAAAACAGTAAGACAAAAACAGGAGAAAGTTACAATAATGATAAAACAATTATGTAACTAATGTAAAGGAAAACTATCTTGGGACGAACCTCGGTAGTCTCTACCATAACGATAGGAAACAGAATCAGTGGCCATAGTACGATCACGAACGATCTCCAGTAGATTGAAAGGAATTGTATCAACAATCTTGCAAATCCGTCTGTCTTTCTGAAAGGATAACAAATGATGAATAGTAATGAGAATGGGAAAAGAAGATTGAAAAAGAACATTACTACAGCTGATAACAAGTTTAGCCAAAAGCAGTATGGTACTACGGTAATTAAAAGTTATTATTTTCTATATATATAATATAGAATATAAGAAGGATATGAGAAGTGAAGATCTTGATCGAATCTCTTTTTCGTACTTGTATCATATCAAATCGATTTAAGCTTTCCATGTACTTTTTATTTATAATCTACGGCTCAAGAAGTTTGAGCTGGATCTAATAGTTTAAACAACAGTTCCTTAAATAAACAATTTTTGTCGATATGAAAAGAGACTTGAAGAAGTTCCCATAAGAACAGTGTTATTTTGTATTTTTTAAATTTATTATTATTTTTAGTAATGTTCAGAAATCTGTTTTCTTTTACAGATTAAGAATGTGATAAGAAAAATTTATATTACATGTATAATCCTACTTAAGAAATACAAAGGTACTTTTGAAGTCTTCTCGCATTGATAAATTGTTGTTTAAACCATTGTTTAAACCGTTAAAATCAGTTAAAATATTTAAACCGTGAACGATTCTATATGTTGATATAAAATATACGGAAAAGTTCAATCGGTCTGAATGATGATTTGATACGAAAAAGAAAAGATAACAAAACAAACAGGATCTTCAATTTATTATCCAGATTAGTCAGAAAGAAAATAGTGACTTTTAGTTGCTCTAGTGATATTTAGATACTATCATATTTGGTCGAAGACCTACTGTTAGAAATAATACGATGATTTCATTATTTTACCACAAACATACTTCACGCCTTTTTCTGCTTCTTACG